GCCTCGCAGCGTCCCGTGAAATGTGATCAGGAGGCGGGCGGGCGCGCCTGGGGTTGCCCCCGCCCACCCGGCCGCCCGCCCGCTCACGTCGCGACGCGCAGCGTGTGAGTCGGGCGGGTGCGGAGCGGAGGTGTGTGTGAGGGGTGTCCCGGGGGTGTGTGATGGAGGGAGTGGGGTGGGGTGGGGTGACTCACCGCGACGGCCTCGCGCAGCACCCTCATGAGCTGCCTCCCAGGGAACTCTGCCGGGGGCTTGTCCAGCTCCAGGCCACTGGACAGCTCCAGCTGGGGGACGGGGGTGGGGGGCCGTGGGTGGTGCGCACGCATTAGTGTGGGAGGACGTGTGTGAGAGAGAGAAAAGGTATGTGTGCGAGGGAGAGAGAAAATGATAGTTTGCGCTTGTAAGGCAGAGGGAGTGAGACAGAGACAGAGATAGTGTGTGTGTGTGTGTGTGTGTGTGTGTGTGTGTGTGTGCGTGTGACAGAGCAAGAGAGAGGCGGTGGCAGACAGGAAGAGTGAGGCTGTGTGTGTAGGCGTGCCCATGCGTGCTTGTGCGCGTGGCAGCGGCAGGCCAGAACCAGCCTCCAGAACGCGGCGATGGATGCCGACGGCACAACAATCGGCCCGCCTCCCGGCACCCACCTCGTGCTGTGTGATGGCGTCGTTCAGCTTCTCAGTGATGGCCTGGGGCAGCCTGGGGGTCGGGGGAGGAGGGGCCGTGCGGTGCAATTAGCGGGCTCAGCGTGTTGGGAGATGCAACTCCATTGCCGTTGTACAGAGCGTAGCAGGGATAGCTGCGCCAACGTTTGCTTGAAAACAGCCTCCCCTCTTCTCGGTACAGCGCCCTTGATGACACCAGTACCCCGTGCCTCCCGGGCGCCGACAATCACACCACAAACATGGTTCAGTTCGACCTCACCCAGTGCAAACTGTGCCCCAACCCCCCACAAATACACAACCACACACATGCACACACTTGCCGTCTCTCTTACTCCCTCTCTCTCACACACACACAAACGGATGTGCGCGCCCCTCCCCCCACCTGCCCTCCACGAAGGAGTACTCCTCGATCCACTGCAGCAGGGGCAGTGCGGGGTGGTCCAGGCACGCCACCAGCTCGTCAAGGGTCTCAGCCACGGGGTGCTCGTAGCCTGGGGAGTGTTTGTGTGTGTGTGTGTGTATGTGTGTAGGGGGGGGGGAGATGATGGGGGAGGCACATTTTTGGATGAAGGGCGGCGGCTTGCAATGCAGTCGGGGGCAGCTGCAAGCCGTGCAACTTGGTGGACGGGGCGCCGGCGATCCTGTGTCCACCCCTCAACATCCAGCCCTATCCCCCCCCCCCCTTCGGCTGAAGAGGGGCAGCCACACTTGGTGCCTCCTCGCGACGTCCCCCGCGAAATAGCCACCGTTTGCGGCCGTAATTGCTGCCCAAGGGTACACCCTTGTCGCGCGGCCGCAGCCCAAGCCCAAACCCTCCTCCACCAGCCATGCCC